AAAAAAAAAAGTATGAATGCCTTTTTAGAAGTGCCATTGGTCGGGTCAGCTTTGTTGGAATGTTCTGGAATCTCAGTATGCAAGATAAAGGTCTTGACTCAATCAATGTTTTTGAAAGTTTGTTTGTCATTACCTGAAGTTAACAGGGGTGCAAAGTAATAAGTGAATCTCAAACACCAGTCAGAGAAATCAAACATCCAGTTTGGAAATAATAACAATTTAATAGACAAAAAAAATTACCACAGTGAATAAAATATTAAAGCATTGCCCTTCTCTCATTCAACAGCATGAAGAGTTTTTGTTGTCACACATTGAAAACTCTTTAAAACCAAATTGACTTACTGTCAATTTGAAAGAAAAGGACCACCACGATACACAGACACACAAATTTAGCACTGCAGACACTACACAAAGAAGGAAAACGAACAGTACCATGTTCCAGAGTTTCTGGAAATCTCATTATATGATAATTCACCAACTTACTCATAGTATTACATTGCAGACAAAATGAACATTTTTAAAAAACCGTATAAATATATAAATCCAAACCACAAAACATCTCTTAAACATTATATTTACTCAAGGTACGAATGGATTTCTAGAAATTGCATTCCCAGTGCTACCTATAAACTAGGTTTTATGGAATCATAAAGTATTTGGCTGTATCTTGGGGCTTAAATTCTATGCATGGGACCACATCCCATTTACACTTTCTCATCAGCTTTCCTTGGGCGAACATGTTCTCAAACTTAATAGCTGTACAATGAAAATCAAACTGCTATTATAGATAAGTATCCTTTTTTCCTCAGGAGGAGACTGGCATTGGCCCACTGTAACTATTTTGCACAACAAATATTTCACCACAAACAAGCTAAAGTAGTCTTCTTAGTAATGCCCTCTTCTAAAAGTTACAAATATTTTAATGTTAATTGTCAGTCATGGGTTTTAGAAACTAAAAGCTTTTTGTTTTGCCTAGTTTCTGTGAACATTCTATTCTTCCAATCCTAAAATCTACCAGAGTTTCTTCTCATAAAATCTACCAGAGTTTCTTCTCATAAATATATACACTCAACTTCCCCTACATTGTGAAAGGAGTCCATTAACTCAAATCACATAGCTTATTCTTTGAGTAGATTTAAGGGCTTGAACCTATGATCAACCTGGTTTAATGACAACAGGGACAGCCATGTGTTCCACCTGCACCCTGCCACCTCCACTTGACTCCCCACAGGTTTTCCCAGCAGGGAATGGGCTTGGTAGGTCGCCGCCCTTAGCTTGGCCTGGACATCTGCAGCACATGGTCTCGCACATAAGCTTGAACCATTACGTTTTGGGACAATTCCACCCAGTACAGCAAGAAACTTAGGTTCTCATCTTGTCTCTGGGTGTTGGTTGCCACAGTTCACCTTGGATTATTACAGGATCAGGTTAAGTAAATCCCAATAGAATTTTTTAAATAATGGGAAGAAAAGGAAATCCCAATAAACTCATAGAGACTAATTTAAATGGAACCTTTTTCAGGATAAGAGGTGAGACTGATTAAACAATGTGGTTCAAAACAAAACAAAACTAAGGTGTTTTAAGGAGAGACTCGAATGAAGGTTTGCATGGACAGCAACTGCTCTATGAGTTCATTGTCCTTGGTTCTCAGAGAGAGGAAAACAAATATGGAGGAGAGAGCACATGTTGGAGACATGTGGCCATGTTCTGCCAGGACATCTGCTATGATGTAAATGCCTCAATTTTCCCATTCCCTTTGGAAAGTGGAAAAACAGGTGCTCAGTTGAATCCACCCAAGGGAATGACTGGTGGTAGGGGAGAGTGCCCCGAGGGGACAGGCATCAGAGTGGCATTACCTGGATAGAGAAAGCACCGAAGATGATTTGGGGGCTCCAACAGCAGGAGTACAGGGGCATACTCTTTGTAAACCCATGTGTCTGGAGCAACTTTCCATGACTGAATGGAGGAATACATTCATCCCTACCTCCTCAAAGACCTCACTACAGCATGACGCCCCTCACCTTAGTGCCTCTCTGATGTGCTGAATGAAATCCTGCCCTGGCTCTGGGAATCTCACCCTGTCAGAGAGCCACAAAGACTGAGCACACACAGCTTTGCTTCTCTGCTAATCCCTAAGTAGAAATAAACATTTTTATTTCCAGCATACAGGAAAATTCATCAGGTCAACATTTAGATGGAAAATGGAGCACAGGCTACGGCTCAGGGCTTTGCTAATTCCATGGGCACTGATCATAAAGAACTCAAGAGAAAATAAGCCACACACACGGTGTTCCAATACAGCAAAGTGTATCCAATTGCTTATTTTGCATATCGATTAAGAAGGAAGTGCCATACAGTCCAGAAATTCATGACAAACGCATTGACAAAAACCATACACCATAAGGATGACAAGGCTAGAAGGGACAAGGCTGACAAAGACGACACCCAGAGTGACCTTCTTAGACACCAATAAGTAGATGCCTAAGGGTAAGGAGCTGAAGTACAGCAAGCCTAGCAGCCACACCAACACCCGGATGGAGGTCTGAAACAGCAGGGACGTGCAGTTCCACACTGTCCAGTTATGGGACACCGTGGTAACAGAGTCGAAACTTGCAGGCCTGTAGAATTCGACCACAGGAGCAGAGCTCAGAGATGGGGAGCTCTCCCTCTGCACCTCCATGATGGTTATGACCAGGCAGTTGGAGGATGTGTGAGAAGGACTGACGAGGGACGCCAGCCTCTTGGGGGTCAACAGCAGCTCGGTGGGGTTCTCTGGCAGGCACTTCTTCCCTTTACTGCCACAAGTCAAGTTTATGAGGATGTTGTTGTCATCGGGCAAGCTACTAACCTCATCATCCGGCAGGCACGTCTCAAACCTGCAGAAAGGACAAACGATGACACCTTGTGGGGAGTCCCCAAAGTCTATGATCTTGTAGAGGCATTTGGCACAGACCCTGTGACAGCACTCCAGCACTTTGGGTTTCCTCTGCTTCAGATTGTACCGGTTGTAGCAGATCTTGCACTCGAGCTCATCGGACACCTGAGATTCTGCAGGGTCTTCGGGTGGCTGGCTGGCCATCTTGAATTATGTATGCAGTCTCCCGCAGATGTGCCTGGTTGAGGAATGACTTCAATTAAGGTGTCCCTCTTAATATCACCTGAATCATGCAAGGAGGCAAAAAGGCTGGAAAAGTAGTGAGAGAAACCAGAAATCTTCCAGGCATTTTCAGCTCCTGGTTAGAGCTCTCTGTCTCAAATGCATATTTTAAAAAGGTCACTTGAAGGGTCTGCAAAGAAAAAAAGAGAGAGAGATTCTAATATAGTGAACAGTTCACTGAGGTGTTTCTAAAAAGTGCTCAATGAAATTCTCTAAGCTCCAAGGATTAGAAGCAATAGACTTAACAGGTTAAATCCCTCCATCTTTTCACGTTGTCCCCAGGACAGACAGGATTGTCTCCATGCTAAGCTGTTCCAATCCATAAATATGGTAAGAGGAAGAAATTGAGAACTCTAATGGGTATACACTGTAATATGACATGCTCTACAGTGTATGAGACATGAGAGATTTTTCTCTCTGAAACTTGTTCCAAATTCTGGCTTCTTTGAAAATAGAGTGGGACTTGCATCAGAAATAGCACTCATTTAGAGTATCTTTGGTGTAAACAACAATGGTGGAAATGCCTTCAAGAGGGCTTATAAACACAAAAAGAAGAGCATCTCAAGGACAAAGGTTAAGAATGTGTTTTCAGAAAGAGCTTTGATGGAGAGGAGAGCATTTTTAAGTGGAGTGGATGGCTCTCACCTTCCCCGTATAAAGAAATCTGTTACATAAAATGACTTTATTGTTTGACTATTCAATTTCAACTATTTGTTTCGCTATCAGTATTAAAAACAATACTTGTGCACATATATTCATGCAAGGTAGAATGAGGCATGAAAGCATTTGATATAAGCACTATAAAGAAGTCCAGTCTAATTTCCAAGAAACAGAAGTAAGTGCAGATAACACATGCATAGTTATGTCTCCACACATGAAGAATCCTTCTTAGTATGGCTACTCAGAAATGCTCAGTGCTCACCTACTCACCTACTTTATTTTGCATAAACACTCTTGCTATAGAAAACAGAAAGTGTAATGCAATCTGCAGTCCTGACACTGGTAACGATACTGTTACCATCCCCGGCTTTAGTCAGTCAGTTGTCCATGACTAGAATTAACGAAAGGGAGCAGCAATATAGGAAATCTCTAAATCATTTTCATTGGCTTTAATATATGTGATATTTGGGGTGGTAGATTTGTCTCAAATTATGCTTTGCTTGGAAAATATCAAAATGTATTTGAATTTATGTGCACACCCTCAAGCAACAGAAGCAGAAGGCTGTCATAACATTTCTGAGAAGCAGAGAGCAACTATGCTAGACTTGGAAATTTGCTATGGATCCTATAGCATTAACAGAGCAGAGGCAGTGGGCAGCTAAACTTGGAAATTCTAAACATCATGGACAGTTGACTTGTGTATGCACACAATCTTCCTTTTTATTTATGTCTTTGCATTTTTAATCAATATTCTATTCTAAAGAATGTGTAATGAGTATCAGTGGCAACATGTACACTTGCAGCAAAAGGAAGGAAGCCACTCAGCAGAATATCTAGTGATAAGCTAAAATACAGATATGATTTTGAAAAACAGAGTTTTCTGGACATGAATGTCTGCATATCAAAATTGTTACCATGAACCAGTATCTATGTATCTAGTCATACATACAGAAAAAAAAAAGAAAAGAAAAATAGGCACAAATACCAACTCTTCTGCTCCCTTTACTCTCATGTGCCCTAAATATTTTCTTCATTCTGATCCTTATCCGTGTCATTGTGAACATGACTACACCTTGCCCACAACTGCACAAAGCTGGTGCTGGGTTTTACCCTCCTGCAAGATGACTAGCTCTAACTGATAGCCAAGGCACACAAAGGCACTCCATCCTGGCCTCCACTCCTGGTCCTGCTGCCTTCACAGGATGGTCCTTAGCTCTGGGCCATGAGTTGATGAATGGATCACTCCCTGCTGCCACCATGCCCTGACCAGGCCTCCTGGGAGCCACACAGACCCAGGGCCCATCCAAAGAGGACACGGTGAGTTAGTTCTCTTTGCAGCTCCTTCCCACTCAGCCTCATGCTCTCCCAAACCTTGGAGCTCATAGTCGTAGTGGGATAACAGCAGCAATTGTCCCATTGCCACCGAAAGTAAATATGTGATGACATCAAGAAAAAAGAGGGTAAAGCAGAATTACCTCCAAAGGCTCAGAAAGCTGGAGTTGGCCCTTATAACCACCAACCGAAGGTTTCTGACTGAGAATGCATTACACTCTCAGCCTCTCACAGTCCTATTCCAAAATTCTGTCCAAGTTTCAGCCATTAGAGGAAGGCTGCAAGAATGTTCTATGTTGAGCAGCCACAGTTGGTTTTGTTTTTTTTTTTAATTTCCTTTATTCATATGTGCATACAATGATTGGGTCATTACTTCCCCCTTCCCTCCGCCCCCTCCCTTTCCCCTCACCCCCTCTTCCACCCCCACCCTCTCGCTTCCAAGCAGAAACTGTTTTGCCCTTATCTCTAATTTTGTTGAAGAGACAATATAAACATTAATAAGGAGGACCAAGGGTTTTTGCTAGTTGAGGTAAGGATAGCTAGATAGGGAGAGTCCTAGTTTTGCTTCCATGTATATATGTGTTACTTTCTAAATTGATTCTTCTCGAACTAACCTTTTTTTCTAGTCCCTGGTCCCCTTCTCCTATTGGCCTTTGTCGCTTTAAAGTTTCTGCATTAGTTCCTTTGCATTGAAGCCATCAAATGCTATCTTTTTTTTTTGAGGGGGGGTTACCTACCTATCCTCGTTCCTCCCTGTGTGCACTCGCCTTATCATGTGATCAAAGTCCTATCCCTTTGTTGTGTTGGCCCTTGATCTAAAGTCC